TAGTGTCATAGTAATGATTTCAAGAATTCAGTTGGACGGTATTGATGTTATTTCTCACATATAGAAGACAGCGATGAATAAAAACGCTGTAAAAAAACATAATTTTTTCGGTTTCAAAAATTATCGACGCTTGTCTATTTATTGATGATGTTTGTACCAAAATTATTTGCCAATGAGTCTAATCAAACTCCACATTGACATACTGTAATTACCTCCTATTTCCTATCCATTCATACCCATTTATTCTGTTTGTTCGAAGAGAACTGAAGAAAACTAGCGAAAAACAAGCTGCCGTTCAGACTGTGAGAGAAGGCGAAATCAAACTCGAAGTTAAACCATAAATCAGCAAATAATATCGAAGTTATAGTAATGCTTCGCAGGAAACCGAGGCAGGAAACGGCGTTTTCACATGCTATACGCATACATACCGGGGGTGGTTTTTCACCGCCCCGAAGGTATACAACCAGCCACGCAACCCGAATACCAATATTTGTGTCGCCAACTTTCATTCGACGAATTTCAAATTTATTGCCCCAAAGTACTCACGGTTCGACGTCTTTTTGGTGTTTTAGACATTTTAGAGTAAACATAAATATCTACATGAGACGAGAACTTGAGAAGCGTACACTGAACAAGAATAACAAGTCTAACTTTCGACTGTAGAATAAAAACAGCAGATACGGAAGAAAAACAAAACAGTCAAACAGTCGATCTCACAATAAGATAGAAACGTAGACCCAGGTTATTATTTGTTCAAAAAAATTCAGTCACTTTGTTGGAGAACTATACAGGGTGGATACTTTAACTGGAATAAATTCGCTAGCGGCGAGGTGAATCATCATTCTGAAAATTCGAGACACGTCAACGTTTCAATGAATTCGCTTACATTTTGCGAGCAATATAAAGAATATTACTCTTCAGGGGGAGCTGAAGTGAGCCCTAACATGTTTTTCCAAATGCAACACTAAGTTCATTTAACTTGATTATTTGGAATTTTCTGCCCTCGTTTCTATAAAATAAGAATATAGACTAATATAGAGTATTATTTCAATATATGTGTAGTAGGAAAAATGCGATGATTCGTCCCAATATGTCATTGCGTTCAACAAATTTTTCTATCAGGGAGCCTATAAGAAGAAACCAGTAGCTTGTCAGTGACAATTCGTTTGGAAAAATGTTTGAAGAAGAGAAATATCGATACCTATATTGAAAAAATATCTAACTTTTTCCTTATCTTTGGACGTTTCGGGAACGGATCTGCTCCCGTTCTCAACCCTATTGCTTGTGATTCCTCATTGGAAAGCTGATTGAAAAAGGAATTCAGCGTACTCACCTAATCTCAGTTTACCGTATAGTATATTTTGAGCAATTTCATCACGTTAATTGAATTTTGAAATCCTATATGATTATATTATATCAAACAACCCTCAAATGTACTAACTAAAAACTATAATTCTATCGATTCCACTAGCTTTCCAGAGAGGGGTCATAGGCTATAGGGTTCAATTTGATAACACTATGTTGACGGTGGTTTCAGCTACCCCTGAGGGGATATATTCTCGATATTGTAGATGTTGGTAAATACTTCAAAACGTTGACGTATATCATGAATTCTTAGAAAATATAATGACCTCTTCGCTACCAAATTCATTCCAGTTGAAGTCTCCATACTGTTTATATTTTTTTATTTGGAGAATACATAATATCGAAGCGAATCCAATTTTTTTAAGGTCACACTTTCAGGTAAGAGTCAGAAACGAGATGATTTGTATCGAAAATGAAGATGGATGATCTTCTCATTATAATGAAATGAAACGTTCGGAACCATGGCCACGTTTATACCGTATGTGGATATGCTTTTCAAACTGATCTGACCAAATTCATAATTAGTTGACCAATGTTACGCCAACTTGATTCTGCTTGGAACTCCTTGAAATACGCAATGAATTCAATATTTCCTACTTGAAAAATTCAGATGACTGTCAGGGAAATGTTGATTTAAAGAATTATTGAACAACAAAAATTCACTTATCACTCAAGTCGAAGCTATACCAAAGTGTTTACACCGTCTTAGTCATCATCATTTTAGTCTAGACTATAAATTACAGTACCAAGCTGATTCCTTGACCAAGTCTTTAGTTCATACCGTATTGACTGAGAGTAATTAGTTGAACTGGATCGAGTCATTAGCCAGATAACCAAAACATGGTATAAACGTAAATATTGAATCTTAGGATACCTGAAAATCATAACATAATACCATAAACTTTTGTACTGCCAAGAAAGGCCAATAATTGAATAACCTCAAAAAGTCATGTGAAATGAAATAAGTAGAGAAAATATGAAATCACATAATTATGTATCTATTGAAGTTCCAATACAGAACAATGTGTAGATTTAACTTAGAGAATAATCAATTATTGTTGCCTCATATTATAATCCATTATATAATTGGAATTTGAACATTGATAACAAGGTGAGATGAGGTGAGATTCATACCTCCGTGATAAGATTTCTGATGTGTCTTGAGTTTTGAGTTGTTTCAATAATTTGTGCGTGTATTGTAGTCGTACCACTATTGGCATCTAGAAAACTTTTGAATGGAACGAAGTTAGTTATCAGACAAAATCTGCATATTCGGGTGAACAATGGAAATATGATTTCAAGCCGGAAATATTACAAACCATTTCCAAAATACGCCAAAATGGCTGGTTCTCTTTTCTTCACTATGACGCCTCTATCCGAAACTTGTGCTAGATGAAAGATGGAATAAAGTAGCGGTTACATTGAATAGAATTCATCAATTAATTTGATAGGTCAACCTCCTAACACATTGCATATTGAATGAGTCATTATTCGAAATACCGTACTGTTATTTCGATTTCACGGTATTCAGATGACAATTGAAAAGTTAATGTTGAAAGCCTCTATTCGTTAAGATTGTTCAACTGCCAGCGGCCCTTGGGTATTGAATGCTGAGATACGTTTACGTTTGGGTCATGTTCTCACCAGATAGCGGTCAAGAATGCTATCTGGGAGACAACCCTCCACTGATGATAGCCAAAAGCTTGAAAGCGGTCTGCAGGTGGTCCATGTGATCCTGAACAATTTGAACACAATTCAGCGTTTAGGAAAGAAACATTTGCATCCTTATTCGTCTTCACGAATCGTTGCATAGATATTGAAAGCATGTATTTCGATGTTCTGCGTGGCATATAGCCAGGAAAGTAGTTGTTCTCCTCTCGATATCTACTATTTTCAGTTCATTTTATGAATGGTAATGACTTTGAGTTTCTATCTCTTCGTGATTTTGAAATGAGCAAGAGGATTTTGCAAATAGATGCTATACTGTCTTTTTTTTATGTTCTGGTTCCCACGAAAAGAGATATCCTGTAATGTTCAGAAAACATCGTGAGAACCAAGGGAAATAAGGTAGGAATTGGTGTGCTTCTTAAATTTCTACAGGTTATATGCCTCGGGGAACACCTCCATTGGCAATGTGTTCCAGAGCCTCGCTGTTCGTTGGATGAACGGGTCTTTGGAAAGAGATGATCTGCAGGTCTCCAAAGTGACCACGAAGGGGTGCGAAGCCTCAACTCGACGGGTTAATCTCGCGGGGACTGCCAAGGGAGGTACAATTGTTGATATTTCAGAAGAGCATCGTCCATGAAAATATCTATAAAATAGAGCCAGATCGCCAACTTTTCTACGGTGTTCCAGAGAAGTGAGTGAGTTTGTGAGCGAGGCATCACCCACGAGACGAATTGCCCTTTTTTGGACGTAATCCAAGACTTTCAGGGTATGTTTGGGTGCTGCACTCAAAATATGGGAACAGTATTCCAGGTCAGGTCGGATATGTGCCTTATAGATCATAAGCAACTGACTGGAAGTGAAATAGCGCCTGGCCCGAAACAGAAAACCAAGTTTTTGGGATGCACTTTCAGCAATTGATCTCACGAGATTTTCCCAAGGAAGGTTATTGCTGATAGTAATACCAAGCATCGAAATGGATGTCTTCAAAGGTATGGTTACTCCTGACATGCTCATGTTTGGCACAGTGAGATCGGCATTTCTAGAGAAAAGGCATGCTTGTGTTTTGCTTGCATTGAAATCTACCAAGTTATTGGATCCCCATTCGAGAATTGTTGCCAAGTCCATATTTATGTTGTCAACATTTCTCCCTCGTTCATTTCTGATTTGCCTGGCTGGTATTGGAGTCAACCGAGGTAATTATGAACATTTCGTTCTGGATAATTATTGGATAATGCAATCCGCATACATTTTGAGAAACGAACCATTAAAACTTGAATATTTTGTATATCTTGTGAATGGCTTATTGTAACTCGAATATCCTTGAACCTGCTAGTACCAGATATGCATTAAAGGGGTGGTTGATCTTGGGAGTAGAGGGTAAAAATAAGTATTATCTTTTTTCCGTCAAACGATCTCTCCCTTCAAATGGAAACACACGTTTTTTTTTGTAATATCATTTTTCCTGATGAGAGTTATCGAGGGTGAATAGTCTCAAGTGGACCAGTCGGTATGTATAATTGGTTAATTACATTGAACAGGTGAAAAACGCCTTCTTCTTGATGATCGATATTGTTGTTGGCTCGAAACATCAAATGATTCGGTATAGAGTCTAACACGCTGATAGTGACAACTTCAACGAGAAGGGATAATAATTAGTGATGGAACGATTATTCAATATAAAGGATATCTAGTTTTTTTTAATGTATTCAGAAGTTGTTTGTCAAGGATCAGTAGAAATCACCTCGAGCCTTCCAAAGCACTCAACTCGACGCTCATAAAGCAAAATTTGCAGTATCAAACCGTCACAATTAAACTCAGAAAATGCCTCTGTAGTCTATTGTTGTCTAGCCTATTACGTGTTCCCACACTGACGGCAAGTAGCTTCCTAATCCCCGTTCACCTTGTTCCGTTCTCCCATTAAGCAAACTAATTCCTTACGGAGCTACGTAACAACTTAATTTACTTACATTTAACGTCGAGCTGCACGGGATTGCTTTCCCCGTCGCCTTCTTGATTGTGTCCGACACAAGTGTAAATCCCCGTTCGAGCTCTCGTTATCGATTGCAGCACCAGGCTCTGGTTGCTCACGATAGTGTTGGTCTGGACGTTGTTGTACAGCTGTTTGCCCTGCAAACGCATCTGTGTCATTAGGATATTCGTATCTCGCTAGAGATGGTAAATATAGTTGAATACAAACATTTTTACACCACTTCTTAGAGAACCTATCATTATATACACCTTTTCAAGTCTCAAAGTGTGGTGTTTTCGTAATTTCATATGAACAACTAGTCAAGACTTGGCCACCTCTGTTATAATAATAATAATAATATTAATAATAATGTTTTGATAGGATCAATAATAGATGATATCAAATTAATGAAATATGCTTAAGTGAAAATACCACTATTTTGAATCATCTGAGCATGTCAGTGTTGAAGCAGCTATCATATCAGCTGCCATGACAAGTTTTTAATTCTTAGGAGTTGAACTACAACTTAAGCTCGTAGATACTAGAAGTGGTACCTAGCAATATACATACAAATCATTTTATTGTGTCAGTAAGAGAAACGTCAACTCCAAGAACCAATTTTAGAACAAAAATGGGCGATTTTTGAGCCGATTGCATAAAAAAGTACTTTAGTGAACAACAATGCTCGAATGACTATCGACCGAAGTCCTTCTTTTCATTGTAAACAATTCGCGATGATGACGGAAATGAATATTGTAAATATGAATATTGTAGAGGTAGGTTCATTGTTGTTGGGATCTTTTCCCAGACGGAATTTTCTGGAAACTTGTGTGGCCCTGTTGTTAGGTTCCCGAGATAAACAAAGTGGTTCAATTAATGCCAAATTGTGTTATTTACTGCAGAATTTTCTCATTAGTGAATTCAGTATATCCTCCAACTAAATGACATTGGTAAGCTCGTAGAGGAGGTTGTTTGGAGGAACTTCTGTTATAATTAATTCGAGCGTACGCCACCTATCAGAGTTCTTGAAAGCTGTCAAAGTGGCATGTTTACTTTGTTTTCATTGGTCCACATTCGTTTTTTGTTTGTGCTTATTGGTCATATAATCGAAACAAACTGCTCAGGAGTGTTCAAGTTGCTGCCGTCAGGTGGGGCGAAGTGTTATTTTTTATCGCGAATAGTTTGTTGTTTACAAGTTGACTGTTGTCAATTGTTATGATATTACAATAGTAGAAAAACTGTTTCAAATGAATTCAAATCAACCCTTCGAAAATCAACGACTTTTCAAGTCACTTATTGGAGTCAGGAATTTACGGAATTGGTTCTGATGATTGTGATGAAACATATGTAGGCCAAACTGGGCTACCCATTAAAACTATAGGTTCAAATAACAATCAGCACATTCGAAATATGTCATTGGATTAGATCAATTGAGTTCAGCAGAACATATGGTCAATCACAATCAGAATACACATATCACTAACCGTGAATTAGCCAAACAAGTTGATAATGTGAAGAAAATATGGATATGGAAGGCTAGTAATATTCAAGTATATTGATAGATTCATGAATAAGGATAATGGGCCAATTCATAGGTTTTTTTCATCTCTTTTAGTGCACGAAACAAAATTACTATGATGTTTGGTTAACATCTTGCCTACCTAGGGAAGATAGGAAATGGCAGTAGGTGTTTGAATGTTGTTGAGCTTTTGGAGGTTATAAGTTCTCATGTAATCTCTACCACGCCAGACATTGACTGCGCAGTTAGTATTTCTCAAGATTGAGTGAACATATAAGCAGCATAATAGATTTCATATAATATTCAGTTATGATCTCCTCCTGAAGATGCTAACATAGTATGCGAAACACTTGTTGAAGCGGTTGAAAAATCGGTTTGATCAGTGGTAAAACAGTGTAGTGTGATTTTTCTGCTAGTCCTTTACTCAAGAAAGTTTCCAGAATCTGTGAACATATTAATCAGGACCGTATTGGAGAGAAAGAAAATGATGCTGGTTCTACGAATACGAAACGTCGCATAAAGAAATCGATATCACCATATCGTTGAATTTGATCAGAAGTTGCTGTTATATGAAATAGTTTTAGTTCTTTGTATCTCCAAATATATCCTTGAAATAATCAATATATTAGATGTTTTCTACTCTCGTATTACAATACGCGAATTGAATATTTGCTACAGATTTCTTGATAGTGTTCATTTCAACACTGATCTTCATTATGATAAAAATCTCCAGCAATGAAGACAGGTACTTTCCATTATCATACGAATATTTGGTAATAAACAAGATACTATTCTAGGAACTAACTGTTCTCGATATAACTGAAAAACCGAGTGAAAAGCTAATACTCACTACTACAGACTTGCGTTTTTTATTTCCTATGTAGATTCATGCGTAATTTCATATCAATAGAGAAAAAGCTATTGTCGAAATGAATTACGGAAAATACCAAGAATGATGGTGGAGGTACGTTTAACAAATTTATATGGTATTATTCTTCGATAAAATATTATAATATTTGGCGGAAAATCATTATTCAATTTTTGGTGGACCCTTTTCAATAATTGGCGAAGTTGCAATTCTCATGTTATCTAGCGATTCTTGCTCAGCTTCAATATTTACAAAATATTTCGCCGATATAGTAGTTTACCTAACAAGTGCGCAAACTAATACTTTTCCGCACGCGATTGCCGATTGCTGGACCTTGCGTTATTGAATACATATCGACAAATTAATTATTATTAATATTAAAAAAATATATAAATATTGAAAAATTGGGTCATTGTATTGGTGGAGGCGATGTTAACATTTATATATATTTCATCACCTCCTCCAAAGTTTAATGATCTATTGTATTTTATCAAAAGCAGAGGAGAACAAGTCTGAATATGAATAATGAGGGGAACATTTTTCAGAATTGACAAAAATTGACATCATCAGTCAAAATAACGATAACAGGAAGGATAAATGGCAATAATCGATTATACTACTCATGTACAGATGGAAGAAGTCAAAGAGGAAGGTACCTAAGAAGTTTCGTTGTTGAGAAATATCAGGCATTCTGGAATAGGGACCCTATGTTCAAAAAGTCAAGAAGTCTACATTCACGACGACATTATTGGAAATCAATCTATGAATGTCACCTAGCAATTTGTTCTTTGAAGATGATACTTATTCAAAGCATATTTTTTTTGTAGAGCACACGAGAGGGAATCCCTATAATGTTCAGGAAACATTGTGCTCACCTAGGGAAAAAAAAGGAAGAGAAGGTAGATAATGGATTTTTTTTTCGAAATTCTGGAGATTATAAGTTCTTGGGAATAGGTACCTCCTTCGGCAATGAATTACAAAGTTTTTATGTTTAGGAAATACAATCAGTATTTGAAGAGGTTATATAATATTTCATGGATAGCTCAATGATCGAAATTAGCAACTATACCTTTGATAGTGCTGAAAAAATGGAAATTGGACGTAGATCGTTGAGTGTTGGGGAATCAGAGATTTCATTAATGGGAAATATCAAGACTTTTTTACATATCTCCGGGAAAACTCCATGTGTCAAACATCTATTGATAATGTAACTCAGAATGAGAGTTAGGAATGGTATATATACTTTCAACATCTCAATAGAAGTTTGGTCCGTGCCTGTAGCATTTACTTTTAATTGGACCAATGATACGCTCCAGGTCCTCGTTGGATATTTGGCAGAATTCGAGTTTATTTGGAAAGAGACAGTCAGAATTATAATGGTTCAGTATTTCATTAGGAGGTTCAATCGCTAACTCGTTTATTGACGCGATAAAGTGGTTATTAATTATGTTAGGGTCACTGAGTTCTTACGAAATTTCATTTCTGCTGTTTTTTTTTTCGAAACTATTTCTAGTAAATTCAGCGTCTGTAGTTTTTCGCTATATTGTTGATTTTGGTTCTTATAGCAGCGGTAGCTAAGTTTCTGAGTTTCTTGTAGATTTCGTAATCTTCAATATTCTTTGATTTTTTTTATTTGGAAAATTCGATTTATATCGTTAGTTTGATGCAGGTCATACCAATACATTAACTGTAGATCCTGAAAGGAGTCATCGTAAACATTATATTGATAGTCTCTGAAAGTATAAAAGTTCTGAGGAGTTGTTGGGGTTTATTAATTCCGTATCGCAGTAGACATTGTACCAAGCAGTTATCAGATATTTCACCTGCGTTCTGGGTATGCATACTCTTTACCATTCATCCCTGATCCATTCTAGAATCTGCCTGGTTATCTTTTTCGATGGTTTGGGTAGGAATTTCTTCAAATGGGATAATCCTGATGATCCAGACCAGTAGTATACATACCAATATTTACTGATATTTGCGTGTTCGAATTGGCTTGTTCCTCTTGTTCCCTCGCTCTCTTCGGGAAAAGGACTTTGAAAGACATTTTCACGTGTGTCTGAGTAGCCAACACGGGGACCATTCCTAGAGTTTGCTGCTTTCCATTCCACACAGTATCCTGGAGTGGTTAAGCAGTCGCCCCCCTCAAATTTGATTTTCCAATGACAGGAATCTAGGAAACCATCCTGGCTTCCCTCTCTAGGACAATGTGGGGGGAGTGAGGTTCAGGAGGTTTTCCATTGCTGCCGTTGGAGTATAGGACATCGCCCCGGTAATGTCCAGGCATGCCAGTCGCTGAAGATCAGCAAGCTACGCCGAGCTTTTCCCTGCAGACCTCCATTGCTCCAGATTACCAAGCCATACGTGATCATTAGTTTTACCATCGTTTACCCTCTTGAGATTTCAAAGGGAAATGGCTTTGTTGACAGTTTTTGCCCTGTGGGCGTTCCAGTTGAGTCTATCTGAGTGATCCCTAGATATTTCACCTCCGCCGCAAACGGAATGCTCTCTCCATATAAGACTGGCTGACGAAGATTGTCTAGCTCATGCATTTACGTAGAAGAGATAATTACACTTTTCCGTGGGTTCATAGACATCTGCTTCTTCTCGCAACAACAACTTGTAGGCCGTTTGAGCCTAAGCGCCTAAGCTAAAGACAAATTCACCTCCGCCAAATATTGAATCTGAGTACACCAAATATTTAACAAGGCGGTTTCGCCAGAATATTGATATAATGAATAATATATTCCACCTTCAACCTTTTGATTGTC